ACAGGGTCCAGGCTGGTCCCACAGCTGAGTCCTGTCAGGCTGGGTCTCCACTGGCACACCAACCTGGCAGCACCTTCCTCCTCTCTCCTCTTTTGGTGGTTAAAATGGCTGATCTCTGAATCCACAGGGGCTCTGGGGATGATTCCTGATCATTTGCTAACGATATCAGCAATTAGGCTCAGGCAGTTGAGCAGGACTTGAAGGGATTAGGCAGCATAAAGCAGCATGAGGTAAGAGAAGGGGCGGTTTGGATGCAGAGACCCTGCTGGCAAGGTGTGTTTTAATTCCCCAAAGCTTATTAATCCTCCCCAAGACTCAGATCATGTAATCCCTCTGTCCCTCCCCCAGCCCCAACACGTTTTCAGTCCCCCATCCCTTCAGAGCCGACGGCTCCAGTGTTTGTGATCTGTGTTGCCATGGAAAAACTACGAGGTTTGTGGTTTGATATGAAATGTTAGGAGCAAGCAGGAGCGGCAGGAAGAGGAGGGCAAGCCCAGGCAGCCACCGAAGCTGTCAGCACCAGGGGTGGCTTTGATGCACGCACTGAAGATGGGATGGAAGAGGAGAAGACCCTGGGGGAGTGTGATCCCTCATCAATAACGCTTTGTGCTGCCAAAAAAAAAGCCTGAGCCAAGCCAGGCTTGCCTCTGACGGCACTATTAGTGCCCATTATTTAAAATCTCCCTTGATTAAACTATTAGTGCCAGTGGAGGGGTGCAATTTGCATATGATTAGTGCCTCTGCTCCGTGCTGAGCCCGTGGGCTCTCCCTCCCCCACTGACAACGAGAGAGAAAATGAAAAAACGAGGAGCGACCTGGATTTGCGCTGAATTAAACCAAATTCAGCGTTTCCTTGTGCCTGGAGCTGGGAAGAGCAATAGCACTCACAGCAAGGCTAGAAAACCAAGGCTAGAAACCTGTTACCTTGGGTAAGAGCTTTCGGGTGTCATCCTGCTTTGGTCCAGGCAAGAATCAGGGAAGCTTTTACCCCAAGCACCTCCTGCCATGCATGTGCTGATGTCCAAGCTGAGCTGTTATGGCCAGCAAAAAGCAGGGGCCAGACCTGCCATCCTCCATGGGCAGCCTTCTGCCACAGGGACCCAAGCAAGCTCCATCTCGCAGACTTCAGATGCTTTTCACACCCCTAAGAGGTCACTCTGGTCCCAACTGGCAAGGCTGGACCCACAGCTGCAGCCCACAGTGAAGGGCAAGACATGAAATCCAGCTCAGGCTTTGCATTCCCCTGCCAAAAGCCATCAGGATTGCCATCACACCATGGGCAGCCTTCTGCCACAGGGACCCAAGCAAGCTCCATCTCGCAGACTTCAGATGCTTTTCACACCCCTAAGAGGTCACTCTGGTCCCAACTGGCAAGGCTGGACCCACAGCTGCAGCCCACAGTGAAGGGCAAGACATGAAATCCAGCTCAGGCTTTGCATTCCCCTGCCAAAAGCCATCAGGATTGCCATCACATCATGGGATGGACTTACGG